AGGGATGGAGGGGGAGAGGGAGAGATGGAAAAGGAGATGGAGAGGGAGGGAGGGAAGGGAGGGAAGGGAGGGAGGGAAGGAGGGAAGGAGGGAAGGAGGGAGGGAAGGTGGGAGGGAGGGAGAGAGAGAGAGAGAGAGGGAGAGAGAGATTAGTTTGGGTGTGTGGTGGGAGGGGAGAGATGGAAGAGGAGGGAGAGGGAGGGAGAGGGTGGGGGAGAGGGAGGAAGGGGAGGGAGGGAGCGAGAGGGAGAGATGGAGAAGGAGATGAAGAAGGAGGGAGGGAGAGATGGAAGGGGAGGGAGGGGGAGGGGGAGGGTGGGGGAGAGGGAGGGAGGGGAAGGAGGGAGCGAGAGGGAGAGGGAGAGGGAGAAGGAGGGAAGGAAGGAAGGAAGGAGGGAGGGAGAGAAGGAGAGAGAGAGAGAGGGGGAGATTAGTTTGGGTGTGTGGTGGGAGGAGAGGGAGGGAGGGAAGGAGGGAGGGAGGGAAGGAGGGAGGAGAGGGAGGGAGAGATGGAGAAGGAGAGGGAGAGGGAGAGAGAGAGAGAGAGAGAGAGAGAGAGAGAGAGAGAGAGAGAGAGAGAGAGGGAGAGAGAGAGAGAGAGAGAGAGAGAGAGAGAGAGAGAGAGAGAGAGAGAGAGGGAGAGAGAGAGAGAGAGAGGGAGAGAGGGAGAGAGGGAGAGAGAGAGAGAGAGAGAGAGAGAGAGAGAGAGAGAGAGAGAGAGAGAGAGAGAGAGAGAGAGAGAGAGATTAGTTTGGGTGTGTGGTGGGATGGGAGGGAGAGGGAGGGAGAGGGAGGGAGAGGAAGGGAGGGAGGGAGGGAGGGAGAGGGAAGGTGAGAGAGGGAGGGAGAGATGGAGAAGGAGAAGGAGAGGGAGAGAGAGGGAGAGAGAGAGAGAGAGAGAGAGAGAGAGAGAGAGAGAGAGAGAGAGAGAGAGAGAGAGAGAGAGAGGAGAGAGGGAGGGAGAGAGAGAGAGAGAGGAGAGAGAGAGAGAGAGAGAGAGAGAGAGAGAGAGAGAGAGAGAGAGAGAGAGAGAGAGAGATAAAGAGATAGATAGATAGATAGATAGATAGATAGATAGATAGATAGAGAGCGAGAGAGAGAGGGGGGGGAAAGGGGGGAGAAAGAGAAAGAGGGAAATACGAAGAGAGGAAAAATACCAGGAGGGGAAAAAATACCAAAAACAGAAAAAAGGAGAAGAGAGAGAGGAAAAAATACGAAAACAGGAAAATACAGAGAGGGAAAAATACGAGGGGAAACGGGACTATATCCGTCAGAGGGAAGGAGCTGTGAAGGGGCGTGCGGGAACCAAGGACGAGGAAGTGGGAGGGAAGTGAAGGAGGAGGGAGGGAGGGAGGGAGGGAAGGAGAGAGGGAGAGAAGGCGAGAGGGAAGGAGGGAATGAGGAAGGGAGGGAGGGAGGAAGAGAAGGAAGGAGGGAATGAGGGAGGGAGGGAGGGAGAGAAGGAGGGAGAGAGGGAGGGAGAGAGGGAGGGAGAGAGGGAGGGAGGGAGGGAGGGAGGGAGGGAGGGAGGGAGGGAGAGAGGGAGGGAGAGAGAGAGAGGGAAGGAAGGAGGGAGGGAGGGAGAAAGGTAGAGAGGGAGGGAGAAAGGTAAGGAGGGAAGGAGGGATGGAGGGAGGGAGAGAGGGAATGAGGGAGGAAGGGAGGAAGAGGGGGAATGAGGGAGGAAGGGAGTGAGGGAGAGAATGAGGGAGGGAGAGAGGGGGGGAGGGAAGGAGGGAGGGAAGGAAGGAGGAAGGGAGGAAGGGAGGGAAGGAGGGAGGAAGGGAGGAAGGGAGTGAGGGAGAGAATGAGGGAGGGAGAGAGGGGGGGAGGGAAGGAGGGAGGGAAGGAAGGAGGAAGGGAGGAAGGGAGGGAAGGAGGGAGGAAGGGAGGAAGGGAGGGAGGGAGAGAGGGAGAGAGAGAAGGTGGGAGGAAAAGAGAGAGAGAGAGAGAGAGAGAGAGAGAGAGAGAGAGAGAGAGAGAGAGAGAGAGAGAGAGAGAGAGAGAGAGAGAGAGAGAGAGAGAGAGAGCAAGAAGAAAAAGGAGAGGGAGAAGGTGTGAAGGAAGAAAGGAGTAAAAGAGAGAGAGAAAGAGAAAGAAAGAGAGAGGGTGTGGATAGAAGGACTGAAGGAAGGAAAGATTTAAATTCTAAAATCTAAACACTTTAAACATACTGACCTATGAAGCGTTGACAATGGAAGAGACGAACCCACTAACTTACCCAAAAAAAGTTGTTAGCATTTCGCCTATCAACGGCTGAGAATTAAGGTTATAAATATGGTATAAAACTCGTGGTTCGGGCGAAACGCAAACTCTATAAACCCATTTAGCGGGGTCGTCTCTCCCAATTTCAACGCCTCATGTATGTATATTATGCAATATCTGTGACCTTTTTTTCCACAAAGATGAATAAACTTCAGATTTCGTCATTTCTTGGGCGACTAAGCGCTGTTACACAACCCGGATTTACCATCACGATTACTTCCTGATGCGGCAACATGACCCATATCTCGTCCTATTTATATTTCGGTTAAAATTAACCCATAAGACAACTGTGACTTATTCTCATAACTTACTATTTACGACATTATAACCTAACAACAAACAACATAACCTGCATACAGCGATACTAAATCTACCGCCATCACAACAGCACAACCTGGATATAACGATGCAATGGCGAACAGGGGTACCAACATAAGCTGTTCCTTAATATTAATAAATAAACAAACAAATCAATAAATAAATAAATAAATAAAGCCAATCATCACACATAACAGTATTTAAATGCAATATACGAAGGAGAGGACTTAAATACAAGCACAACATCACACAAAATACACGTAGCCGTACATCGAAAATTCAAACAGATAACGAACAGGCAAATGAACATGAACAAGGGAACGCGGAACAGGAACGACCAGGGAACGTGGAATGAGGAACGAGCGCGGGAAAAAATAATGAGAGAAAAATAGAAATAACGATGACGAAAAAAAAAGAAGAGAAAAAGAAATGTAAATAAATAAATATAAATATTGAACAGAAAGTAACCATTTCACGCATTAATAGTGTAAATGGATTAATTCTGTAAGATTAATGTAATTCTGTCATGACAATATTTCACGAAAAGGTGGGAGGGAAGGAGCGAGGGAAAAAGAGAGAAAGAGAAAGAGAAAGAGAAAGAAAGAGAAAGAAAGAGAAAGAGTAAGAGAAAGAAAACGAATAAGAGAAACAAAACAAAACAAAACAAAAAAAAAAAAAACGAGACAGAAAGATAGACAGACAGATAGAGAGAGAGAAAGAACGTAAGGAAAAGACAGTAAAGACAATAAGAGGGAGAAACAGAGAAGACAACCGATAAATGGAAGAAAGAAGATAAGAAAGAAGAATAAAGAGGAAGAAGAAAAGAAAGAAGACAACGATAAAAGGAGGAAATGAAGACAAGAAAGAAGACAAAGAAAAAACAAAACAAAACAAAGAAGACAGCAAAAAAAAAGATGGAAGAAAAGAAGAAAAAAGAGAGGAAATGACAACAGCGATAAACGGAGGAAGAGGAGCAGACCAAGAAAAAAATTACCTCGAAGGAGTCGTCGGACAGCGGTGCTCATTGCCAAGGGGGGGAAGGGGGGAGGGGGGAGGGTGTTTTAAAGAAGGGGTGGGGGTGTATGGAGATAGATTTGATAATTGTTTTCTTTTTCCTTTCTCTTTCTCTATCTCTCTGTTTCGTGTTTCGTTTTTTTTTTCTCTTCTTTCTGATTTTTTCTTCTTTTTCTTTTCGTTTTTTATATTTTTTTTTCTTATTATTTTCTGATTCTTTTATCTTCGTTTTCCTTCCCTGTTTTTTTTTTCTTCTCTATTTTGTTTCCTCTTCTACTTTTTTTTTTTCTTATTCTTCGTTTTCTTTCCTTGTCTTCTATATTATGATTATCTTTTGCCTTTTTTGTTTCCTTTATTTCTCCTTTCTCTCTCTTCTTTTTTCTCTCTTCTTCTCTTCTCTTCTCTTTCTGCTTTTTCTTCCTTCTCCTCTTGATTTTTTTTACTTCCTTTCTTCGTATTAATTATCTCTTATATTGCCTTCTTATTATTATCCTCTTTCTTCTTCTTCTTCTTCTTCTTCTCTCTTTCTTCTCCTCTATCCTATTCCTCCTTTATCCTAATTCTTTCGATTTGCACTTTCGTTGTAACAGACGCAATAAAGAAAATAAAAAACGAAAAAAAAATAAAAGCGATCAAATAAAAAGGCAAAAAAAAAAAAAAAAAGAAAAAAGAAAAATATAATATACACGAAAATTAGTTAATATATTAATAGGATAACTTATATAGAAAAATAATCAGGGACAAGTAATTCTAGAATAAAAGAGAGAGAGAGAGAGAGAGAGAGAGAGAGAGAGAGAGAGAGAGAGAGAGAGAGAGAGAGAGAGAGAGAGAGAGAGAGAGAGAGAGAGAGAGAGAGAGGGAGAGAGAGAGAGAGAGAATTTAGAAACAAACAAATCAATAATAAATCAATTAATCGCGAGAAAAACAAAAACGAAACAAAACAAATATATATGTAAAAAAGTAAAATAAACAATTAGACGATTAAACAAACAAACAAACAAATCAATCAAATCATTTACTTCTTTATCATAAGAAAAAAAGAAAAGAAAAAGAAAAAGGAGAAACAGACAAAGAGAGAGAGAGAAAGAAAAATACGATACGAGAAAGACTAAGAAAATGAGCGAAAAACAACGCGAGAAATGACGAGAAATCGAGAGAAAACGCGAGAAACCGAAAAGGAAAAACCGCGGGAAACACCGACAAAAAATAAAAGAGAAAAAAAAAAAACACCAGAAAACGTGAATTAGAAACCAGAGACCGAACGAGAGACCAGAAAGAACGGACCAGACTTTACCGTACGTTTCAACTTTAGGCAAATAAAGGCATTAAATTCACTCAGGTACTTGTTTTTAAACCTCGCTAACGGTTGGACGGATACCAGAAAGGCGGGAAAATTCAAATTGCTTTTTAAAAATATTTGTTTTCCTTTTTTATATATATATGTGTGTAAGTCTATATATCACAGCTCATAGGTTCTTTTTTTTTTGTTTTGTTTTTGTTTTGAATTTCTTTTTCTTCGTAAGGAGAATTGAAGAAAATTGGAGTTTATTGTTATTTTTCTCTCTTTCCTTCTTTCTTCTCTTTTTGTCTCTACTTTACGTAAATGTTTATGACGTTGTGGAGTATGCTTTTGTGTTTGTTTTTGTTGCTGTTATTCTTGTTTATATATAAATATTGTTTTGTTTTGTTTTGTTTTCTCGTGGTTTATTTACCTTCGTTTTTCTTTCATATTTTCCTTTACTGAATTTCTATTTTCATCATCTATTCAATCTCCACTTTCCTCTCCACTAAGCATTCTCCATAATATCACTATTTTCTCTTATTTTTTTCCTTTTTTCCGTAAATGTACACACGTGAAAATTATCTTCGTTAAAAAAATAGGTCTTTTGAAAGCACAGTTCTGGACGGCATGAATTGTTCGCTAATTCTCTAAACTACCAATTTACTATTTTTCGAATGGTATTTTCAGAAGGAAATAGAGATTAAGACCTTCTTCTTAAATATATCCATTAGGGCTTCGTAAATTTCACAGCTGGTTGACGCGAATGAACCATCTGTAGAAAAGTATATACATACGAGTACCACCTTTCTGTCTGTTTCATAATCTTCTTTTCTTCTTTCTGTCTTTTTCTCCTCTCTTTTTTTTTGTCTTTCTTATACCACCTATTTGCTTCTCCCTCTTTTTCTACAGGTGGTTCCTCTCTCTTTCAGGAAGCGTGGGTTTCGTAAGTCTCACAGCTGGTTGACACGGATAAACCATCTGTGCGCCGGGAAAAAAACGAAAAGATATACACGAGAACCACCTTTTCTTTTCTTTTTTTCGTCTTCTACAGGTGGTTTCTCTCTCAGGAAGCGTGGTCTTGGAGGCACAGCTGGTCCCGCGTCTTCAAGCCACCTGTTGCTTCATCAGCTGGTGGCGAGGGGAGGAGGAGGAGGAGGAGGAGGAGGAGGAGGAGGAGGAAGGCGGAAGAGGAGGAGGAGGAAGAGGAAGAGGAAAAAACGGGAAGAAATGGATGACGGGAAGTAGGAAGGGGGTTAAAGACTTCCGGTGGTGGTAGGGGGGGGGGTGGAGGACCAGAAGGAGGAGAAGGAAGAGAGGGAAGGAAGAGAGGGCGAGGGGCGAGGTGGGGGGTGGGGGAGGAGAGAGGCAGAGGAAAGGGCCAGATCACCGCAGGACAAGAAATCCTACCACGACATCCTCCTCCCAGTCTTCGTTTCCCCTCCGTCGCCTTCCTTTCCCCTCATAGTCCTTTCCCCTCTCTCTCCTCCTTTTCAAACGACGTGGCCCTCCCCCCTGGAACACCCTCTCGTCTCAACAGTGCCAAAACAGTGCCAAAAAAACAGTTTTCAAACAGTTTTTCAAACAGCACCACGCGCGCCGTCAGTAGCAACCACAGAAGGCGGAGGAGTAGGAGTCACAGAGTCACAGCAGGAGCAGCAGCAGCAGCGGCAGCAGGAGGGACGAGAGCAGGAGCAACGCGTGTGAGGGGAGAGAGGCGGGGAAGCCAGCGAGGGGACGCGAGGGGAGAGGAACACTGGCGGGTGCGGGAGCCATGGAAACTGACGGCGTGGCGTAACGAGGGAGATGAACGCGCGCTCGCTCTCTCTCTCTCTCCCTCGCCAGGCCCTCGCTGGAGCCGATGCGCACGCACGCACGCACGCACGCACGACGCTCCTTCCTTCTTCGGCTCACGTGCGGGAGGGGGGGGGAAGGTGGGGGAAGAGGGGGAGGGAGGGGAGGGAGGGAGGGGGGGAAGAGGGGGAGGGAGAGGGGAGGGGGGGAGAGGGGAAGGAGGAGGGGGGGTGGAGGCGCTTCTCCTTATCCTCTTCTATTCGGATTTTCTCTCGTTATTCATCTTTCTGTAAGCTGATTTTTCCCCCCTTTATCGCTGTTGTTCTTTCTCCTCCTCTTTCTCTTTCCTTCTTTTTTTTATCGCCTTATCCTCCTCCTCTCCTTCTTTTCCTTCTCTTCTTCTTTTCCTTTTCCTCTTCTTCATCGTTTTATCTTCGTCGTCGTCCAATTCTGTGCTTCTTCTTTTCAACTGTTGCTGTTCCTTCTTGTTATTGTTTCATCCCTTTCTTCTTGTTCTTGTTTTTTCTTTTTTTTCTACTTATGCGTACACAAATATGTGTATGCATATATATACGAATATATATATATATATATATATATATATATATATATATATATATATATATATACATATGTATATATATGTATAGATATAGATATATATGCATATATATATAAGCATATATATATATACATATATAATATATAATGTATAATATATAATATATAATATATATATATATATATATATATATATATATATATATATATATATATGCAAACACGCACATACGCACATATATATATATATATATATATATATATATATA